TTCCCTTTTAAAGGGCGACTGGGGATTAGGAGACCCAATCGCCAAATCCTAGTGGTGGAGAATCATCATCCGCCATCTTTTCTAGTTCGGGCGCCCCTGTAGAGACATTAGATTTTTGGAAGCAGGACGCATGAAAAATGGGCACTTCCCTCTGCGGGACTCAAACTACGAACTTCTCGAATACGCGTCGAGCATGCTGATTACTACAGCACAAAGGCATGCTAAAAAGGCGGGGAAAATACCTTATATTGTTTTTAATATTTTTTAGAAGAATACTGTTTTGTTTTTTATTTTTATACATATTTTTACAATAAAAATTAAACATTAAAATTTTGTCTCATTTGTTAGCGGATCCAAGAGCTCCTTGGATCCGCCACAGCCAAGGGGCCCGTAAATCTTTTGCGTTCAGGGTCGGAAATGATCTTAAACCGGCACTGCTGAACGGGTTCCACTTACGTAATCTGGCCGCAAAGTTCAAAATAAGAATGGAGCTATAGTAACAACAACTTCAAACTAAATACTAAGTTGGACTATTTAAATAACAAATTTAAAGAACTGAGAATAAAAGGTAATGTTCGGAAAGTAGCTTTCTTGGGGACAGAATCTCCATGGTTTGTAAGAAACAATAGGATTCACCAGGAGCTGAAAATGGAATTATTAAGAACTTGTTATTACGGGATTGCAAACAACTTTTATGAACGGCAAAAACTGATTGACAACCCCTCTCTCAAAATATGCCAATATGACGTTAACAATCCTATGAACTCTAAAAGACCCATGCCAATTCTGAATATATACAAAGTTTAAGTTATGGCTGTGTATGTATGTTATGTCTGCTAATTTCTGCTGTACCTATGTTCATTTATTTATTGCATATTCAATATTAATTGTGTTTATCTTTAATTATTTAGATGTCACATTGTGAGCTCACATGTATCAGTTTTATATTTAGTTTTATTTATCTTGTTTTCATGCATTTACCTTTGAAATCTAAGTACTCGTACATTATTTATGCTTTTCTATTATGTATTGAATTAATATTATGTTTTCAGCACCCACACCAGTTCGGCGGCTTTCTGGATTAACAGTTTACTAGCATTACAAATTATTTTCTTTTGCTCTATTTTTATTAATAATCATCAAAAGCCTTTAAAAATTATATTTTAATTTTCATTATTTGAAATATTCATTCGGAAAGTTTAATTTTTCGATTAGGGATAATGCTTCGTGCCTAGGTACCTTGGTGAGTACACCATTAGTCTGAGGAGAGAATACTGGTTGTTCGACTTGGGTTTGAATACAGGCAAATAAGCTGGCTGCGTGATTCTTTTCCCTCTGTGTAACATGAATATGAGTCAGAGTCTTTTGTTTTTTTCAGTCCATCTTGCATCAAACAAACGGTTTTTAAAGAAAACAGCATAAACTGTGCTTGAAATTTTGAGTGATGTATTAGTTAATTAAGACACAATAACACGCCGACAAATACTAATTCAGAAGTCAAACAACAAAAATCAGCGTTATATTTACAAAATTTTCACAGGACTAGTTTCGATGGTTTTACCGAACCACCATCTTCAGCTGCAAAACCGCAAATGAACAAGATATGAAATAATGATTAGATAAGATAAGAAAGCCTGGACAAGAATAAGCAAGTGGCGCCATCTGTTGGCGAAACCAGAACTAAAACATAATTTCTTTAAAAGCCGAAGGCAAATTTGGATTGGAATTAGAATCGTTAACTAGAATAGAAAGATTTTTATGAATGTGAAATGCCTCTAGAAAATCCAGTTCTCCAATGGAAGATGTTTTTTGAATAATTTTGGCAGCAGAAAAATTGAAAGTGTGATTTTCGGACCAACAATGTTGAGCAACAGAAGACTTCTGTGTTTCCTTTTTTCTAACATATGCCTCATGTTCTTTGACGCGAAATTTTAAGGCTCTCTTAGTTTAACCAATGTAAATTAAACCACACTGGCAAGGAATCCTATAAATACCCCAAGAATTCATATCCGGAATGGGGTCCTTGAGTATGGAAGTCGGAATTTTATTGATGGGAAAATAAACAACCTGAAAGTTAAATTTCTGCAAAATGTGTGCAACTTTATAGCTAATTGATGGAAAGAAGGGAATGACAACAGAATTTTTATAATCTCCTAAAATAAGAGTGTGGCTTTTAGTTTGTTGAGATGAGAATTTTTTAACTGCTTGATTAATAATGTTGGGTGAAAAACTCCTGTCAATAGCTATTGCTTTCAAATAATTTAGTTCTTCATCAAGGGCTAGTTTGGATGAGCAAACTTGAAGAGCACGGAAAACATAAGAATAAAAAGAAGCTAACTTTTGTTTAGTCGGATGACATGATTTAAAATGTGGTGGAAGGCAAACCGATGAAGGTTTACGGTAAATTGTAGTAGTGAAGTTGGATGTGTTACGTGTGACCAGAATGTCGAGAAATGGTAGAGAATTGCAAGTCTCAAGTTCAAAAGTGAACTGAATAGCAGGATCAATAGAATTCATTGTTGAAAGAACTTTTATTTAAATCATCTTTATTACCTTCAAACAGGGTAAAAGTATCGTCTACGTTGCGGAACCATGCCGGGAAGTTTAAAGTTTCAAACAATTTTGATTCATAATAATGCATGTAGATATCAGCCAGGATGGGACTGAGGGGGCTTCCCATGGCTAATCCCTCAGTTTGCTTGTAATATTTATTTTGGAAAACAAAATGTGTTTGTTTCAAACAGAGTTGAGTGAGAGAAATTAGCTCATCAATTTCGATGCAAGAGAAATGAAATTCGCGAAGTCTGGTTTCTAGGCATCTTAATGCACCCTCCACTGGGACATTGGTGAATAATGATTTTACATCAAAAGAAACCATAAGTAAATTACTAGGAGAAATGTGTTTAACCTTTTTTACAAACTCTATTGAATTTTTTATGGTGTAAATGTTATTGTCTAATAGAGTGGAAAATCTAGAAACTAAATATTTAGCTAATGGATACGAAGCAGTACCTAAATTTGATACAATAGGGCGGAAAGGAATACCACTTTTATGAATTTTGGGAAGAGCATATAATCTGGCACAATTCGCAACAGATGGTACAAGCGAATGTTTTAAGTTGCTTGAAATGGTTTGCGAAGATTTGATCGCAGTTTTTATTTTGGACAAGTCCGAAGGTGAAGGATCTTTAGGGATCGGATTATATGGTCTTTCGTTTAAGAGTTTAGTGACACCATCGATGTAAGTGTTCTTATCCATGACGACTATCTGGCCACCTTTGTCGGCCTTTGAAATGATAATATCCGGATTAGAATCAATTTCGCGCATTGTAGCTCTTTCTCTCGCAGTTAAATTTGGTTTCAAAGGTTTATTATTGAATTTCACATTATGAGCGATAAGATGCCTAATCATTTCTTTCTGTGAATCTGAAACTTTATTGAACTTGAAAGCTTTTTTTCGATAGGAGCCAAAATCTTGGAATCGAGGGTTTACAGTTTTTGTGAGAAGTTAAAATTATATTTTAGAATTCTCTCTTGTTCTTCTGAAAGACTAACATTAGAAATATTAACTATTGGCTTGATGTTTTACAATGGGAAGATTTTTTGAACTACTTGAACTGGAAGAGTGTAAAAGAAGTTTTTTTTCGAATTTAACTGCAAGGGTGATTTTATGACGGTTTAACTGCATTCTCCGTTCTAGACCAAGACTTTTGTTCAAGGGCAGTGAATTTTGGATATGATTTAGCGAGTTCCAGATGAAGCTTATAGAGTTCATGTTCAATTTTGGACAATTGTTGACGTGTATCCCTTATCACGGAGCGAAGTAAGGCAAGCTTGCAATTTAACAGAATTCTTGAAACGCGACTCGAAGGTTTTTGATTAGATTTGATTTGAATAAAATTGGGGATCAATTTTTTACATTTACATTTAAGTAAAAAGTCAAGATGATTCAGGAATTTTTGCCGTTTCAGGCGTAATTTAGTGAAACGATTAACGGATGAAGGCATGATAAACAATGCAGAAAATCAAACTAAATTAAGTGAGCAATAATAAATTACACACAAAACAGCAAGAAAAATACCTCACTGAAATGAATAGAAAACAAAACGTTTGTAAGCAAAATGCATGCAATCAGACAAGCAAAGCACAATATCCAAATGTACAAAACATAAACATAACTTGAAAATTGCAAAAAAGGACTTACCGAAACTCCTACAATCACAAAATGGCGGCTACACCCCGTGCAAAAAAGAAAGCGAAAAATAAGCCTGTTTGAGGCTTCTATAATTAAGACACAATAACACGCCGAACAAATACTAATTCAGAAGTCAAACAACAAAAATCAGCGTTATATTTACAAAATTTATGATGTATTAGTTGCAACTGTATTGTGGTGTTATCTATTAAAACAATTTTTCATTAATAATCTATTTTGGAATTTCTACAGTTTTTGAATATTTGATGCGCACGACTTTTGAATCACCCTGTAGTTATCTATCGCTATATATTGTTAAACTGAATGAGCCTATGGGCGGTGTTTTTAAATTTATAGTTAATTGCTTCCACCTTTCCACTAAAAGTATACAAATCTTTAATTTGAGGGTAAGGAGGAAGGCCTGCCATTTCAAATAGACTATTCTAAGCAGCTCTTCTTTTCAGACAATAAACACAATCGCTTTTACGTTTTCTTAAAATTGAAAGAACAAAATTTTGACTTTTTCCAGAGGAACTCAGTAGAAAAGGACGTTTTTATCCCGTAAAGTGTGTTTATTTCCGTAATACCAAATACTGCTGTTCAGTATTGTTTTTTTCTTTAGTATGATACGTATTTTTCTGAATATGACTGTTATTTTATATCCGCACTTTTGGGATTTGATTAAAAAAAGTACAACGTAGCTCCTGTTTTTATTTTATTATTGTTTTCCAAAGATTCTAGTGAAGATGATATATCATTTGAGTTATGATTTTGAAGCAGCATTTTAAGAGATGGCTTGGTATACGTAGTGGACGAATCTCGAAACCGTGAAATCTGTTTTGGAGATTTTCTGGTCGGAAATGTATACTAAGTGTATATCGCACCTGCAATTTCAATGTTATTGTTATTAAATTCTGATGATGAGTTTTGTTTGCATTGTTTTCAAATTTTGATTTCACCCGAGTTACGGATAAGTGAATATAATGAAAGCAAAATCTCTGGTGGTAAATATTAAAAGAAGAAAACATTAGTTTTTGGAAGCAGAACGCCCTGTGTAAATTGTCGAAAATGTTTGATGCATGATTATCATGTAATTCTTCAAGGAATCTAATTAGTGAATGTAAATAAATATGTAGGTGTTAGGGAAATACGTGGTATTTCATGCGCAATAAATGTAAGTATTTCAGTGTGACACATTAGGCTTACATTTGACATAATGGTTGTCTTATAGACATTTATTTACATTTTCTAAAAATACTTTTATTCAATAATCTAGTTCATTCCTGTGCTTGTAAGTGTTTTTTATGCATTTTCATGAGTTTGCGATTATGTAGTGTAAAAGTTATTGCTTTTCTAAACTTATTTTTTAACGGTTTTACAAACGTAAACAAATACTTGCTCTGTTTTGAGTCACAAATTTTAAAGGTAATTCTTCACTGTTTTCTTAGCCTTGTATTAATTCTGAATTTCATATTTATATTATGAATGCGTTTAAGTTTTTTGATAATAATAATAATCATTAAAATTCATTAAGGTAATTTTTAAATAGACTCCAGAGATTAATTTAATAATTATTGTTGTCATTTTACGTTTGTATGACTTTTACGAAAATAGTCTGTTATACTAATGATGACACTTAATTTTAACTTTGTGTTTATTTTTCATGGACGTTTTTCGAACAATTTTCTACCTGAGTTATTCCGAGAGAAAAATTTAGTGACTTGGGTTTTACCTAAATCCTAAATTTCAAATTTAAAAATAATTTAAATTTGAACTTTCCCTAGGTCTTTGTAATTTAAAAATCTGGCGTTGTGATGTCGTAAAAATTTTTAGGAAATCCCCATTGAAATAATACATGAGCTTTTAAAAATATTTGCAGTTCACCTCCACTTCCTCAGCTGTTTCATTGCCAGGAACTGGATATATTTATCTCACCACTTGACTGTTATTTATTATGTTATCTGCTACAAGCATAACAAGTATAAATAAATAATTCTTTCTCTTCCCAATTTTCTATCTAAATTACTCATTTTTTTTTGTTTTGTTTGATTGTTCCTTCCTTCCTCAGTGGCATGACAGCCCGGGGCAGCCCTGGCCTTTTCAAGAATTTTCTTCCAGGTCTCTCTTTTCTTCGTCATGGTCTTCCAGTTAATCACTCTTTAAATGACGAGGTCCCCTTTCAGGCAGTCGACTCATCTGAGGTTGGGTCGGCCCCTAGTTCTTGTTCCAGTAGGTTTGACCAGGAATATTTTGTGTTATGCACTCCTTGTTTATTCTAATATTGTAGCCAGCCTATTTAATCCGTTGTATTTTTATGTATTTCACAATGTCGGGTCCTTTTTAGGTATGGTAAAGTTCTAAATTTGAGTGTCTGGGTCAAACACCATGAACTTGTATTCCTCAAAAAATAGCTCTTAGTAGCTCTTGGTATCTGCTGCTCAAAGATACCAAGGCGATTTTCATCTCGTGTATCATTGTCCAGGTTTCTGAAGAGTATGTGAGTATAGGTTTGATTAGATATTTATAAATTAATATCTTTATATTTTAATTAAATTTGATTTAAAATATTTTTAATCTGTGAAAGCATCTATTGGCTTGTTTGTTATCATGAACTATTTTAATACTGTACTCATTTTGGGATTTTAATTTTTATAAATTAGGACTTTTCCCCTAAGTAAGTCCAAGTATTTGAATATCTACTTTTTATGGGATTTTTTTTTTTTTTTTTTGTTGTGTGTTGCTGTTAAAGAATGGCAGTACCTGTTTTTCTCCTCTTCTCTAATTTTTTTATAATATTTAATCCAGAAACATATTTCTATGAGATCAATAGACTTTGTGAGACTTAATATATTTGATAAAATTGGAACTTAACTAAGTATTTTAAGAATTACAATGGAACATTTCAGTTGAGTAATACCATTCAACATGTAACTAGAAAGATTTGAATACTAAAAGTAAATTCTTATCAATTTTACTTAGATTTTTTTTTTTTTGTTTATGCACTTTTTTTTTTTTTTTTTTTTTTTTAAAAATTTAACAAAGCTATGAAAACAGTTATTGTCTTTCATATTTTAGATCTTACAAAAATGTTGCTGTGACATGTGGGGCAAGATGTAGGAAATGAATGATATGAAAATTGTTAAAATTATTCCTTTTGAAATAAAATCTATAAAGCTGTCATCTTTGTCATAAAGGTTTTTTCTGAGTAAGTTGCAGTTTAAGCTGCATTTTCTCAAAACTAGAGAAACATGGTAATAAATATATTTAAACAAAATGATAATAAATAATATTTAAAATCTACGTATAGTATTTAGAAAACTTAATTCTTGTTTAGTTAAGTAAAAATAAAAAATTAAGTATTATATTTCTCATGCTATCTTAGAATGTAAGAGAGAATGATTACAAAACGATGTGTTACATTAAAGATAGCTAAGTAAATTTGTAAATTGGGAACTAAAAAAAAAAAAAAAAAAAAAACTATTTAAATCATATCATTGGAAAACATTGGGGGAAAGTGCAGAATCCACTGCTTAGTGCGCTTAAGAATTGCACATACTGGGTATCCATGCACACATCGACTATTTTCACTTAAAAAAGATTATTTAAACTAAGCACTTACTTAAAAAAAATCCCAGAATTGCAAAAAAATGGCATTGCTCACTCCCTGAATCCATGTACACATCGACCTATTTTCACATAAAGAAAATTGACAAAAATCCAATTCTTCTTACTCTTGTAGAAAGTGCCAAAAAAATAGTGTAAAATTGTAAATAGTAGGCGATTCTGCACTTTACCCAAACATTCCTTCACTCCATTTAATTATCTGTTTAATAATCATTATATATGTAATAAGTTTTCTTGTTAGATTTTCTGAGAATAATACATTGTTATCGTATGAAACATTCCTAAAATAAATTTTGTACATAAATATTTATATGCTGTTATTATGTTAACCAACATTTAGTTTATAAAACAGTTGTTTAACTGTAACTAAAAGTTACTGAAAACTGTTTGTGGAAAATAATACTTGCATGTATGGTAGAACTAAAGTAATTTGATCTACTTCCTTTCTGTAATTTTTTTTTGTGATATGTGGTAAAGCTAAAGTAATATGTCTGAGAGTTTTAATTTTTTTTTTTTTTTTTCCATCTGTCATTACTAGGGGCAGTTGGGAGTTTAAATCTGTTCTTAATCATGAGTTTTATAATTTAAGAACAAATAATATTCACAAGAACAAATAATAATCACATTTCATATTATGTCACTGATAGTTTACCCTAGTCACAAATAACATTCTTCTATCAAAATGATCATGCTAGTTTGGTTGTTATTTTTTTATAGTTTGTAAGTTTTATGTATATTTTATTTGTTTTACTCTAATGAAATTTCTTTTGATGGAGCTGTATGAAATGGTGGTGTTAGCCAAAGTTAAATATGCATATTCTTGGTTTAGGTTCAGTGGCATGGATGTTTGTGTCTCTAGCATGTTTATGAAATGGGCTCTCAAAATGAGTTGATTCAAGTGTCTTCTAGAGAATTCGAGAAGGTGAACAATTGAGATACAAGCCCTTCAAATCCATTCAATGTAGGGTTCTTGCTTAAATTTGAGATAAAATTTAAGCAGATAGCTCTTTTATGCTTAGTTTAAATAATCTATTCAATTTATTGTTAGAATTCTTCATTGCAAGTTTATATCCTGTATTATGTATGAAGACAGTTTTCCTCATTTGAATTTTTGAAGAATTTAATAATATCTTATCTATGTCACATGACATATTTTATATATTAATCAAATTAGGCAAGCCTGAAGCATTTGTGTAAAAGCATGAAAATTAACATAAAATGTTCATGTAAAAGCATGAAAATTAGCGTGTTTATGAAATGGGCTCTCAAAATGACTTGATTCACGTGTCTTCTAGAGAATTCGAGAAGGTGAACAATTGAGATACAAGCCCTTCAAATCCATTCAATGTAGGGTTCTTGCTTAAATTTGAGATAAAATTTAAGCAGATAGCCCTTTTATGCTTAGTTTAAATAATCTATTCAATTTATTGTTAGAATTCTTCATTGCAAGTTTATATCCTGTATTATGTATGAAGACAGTTTTCCACATTTGAATTTTTGAAGAATTTAAATAAATCTATCTATGTCACATGACATATTTTATATATTAATCAAACTAGGCAAGCCTGAAGCATTTGTGTAAAAGCATGAAAATTAACATTGAAGAAAAAGAAAATTCTGCAGCTTATTTTGAAGATGCTTAATTTTGTGGTATTTTAAAAAAACTTCATGTGTATGAATTAGATTTCTTGAAGCTTTTTCCACAGAAATCTTTTCAGTTAATGATTGAAATTATAATCTTTATTGTCATTTAGCCTCCTCTTTTTTTAATTATTCTATCTTTCAGTAGATGGAGTTATACTAAGTTCACCAGTTTTTTTCTTTACTTGTTTTAATGTTGATGATGATTTTGCATGTTTTAGTGACACTAAAAATACTGGAAGTGATTTTCTTTTATATAAATTTATTAGTTTAATTAACCTCCTGAGTGTCATGACTGGCTTTATCTGGTCATGATATTTTTTGTTAGTTGTTATATGTCAGCTTATAACAGGGCTTAATTTCTAAGATTAGAAGTGCCGGAGCGCTATGGAAGACCATCAGCAAAAAGGAACAAGAGTAAATAAATAAATAAAATGACTATTAAACTCATTAATAATTTTTAAATTAAATAGTTAATTACTATCAAATTAATTAATAGCTATTTAATTAACATTTATAAATTGTTATTTAATCAATAATTATACAATTAATTAGAATTTAATTGATAATTATTAAATAATTGATTAATTAGAATTCAATTGATAAACTATTAGGTAATTAATTATTTATTTATTGAAATAATTAAAGATTGAAGTAATTAAATAATTAAAATTAAATAAAATGTAAAGAGATAAACTGAAATTTAATAAGCAATTTTAATATAATTTTATTGGTAAAATAAAATTTTTGAGATAAAATTTCCACTGAAATTGTTATTCAATTACATAAAAGAAGTGCCGCAGCCTTCTTATTCAGGGCTCCAGGTGCTTTCCGACTTGAATTATGATCTTATTACAAAAACTAGAAGTTGCAGCCAGAGCCGAGATCCGATGGGCTTCCGGCCCAATTTAATTTTTGATCGTAAGGGCGAGGGGAGTTCTTTTATCATCACAAAAATTAAATATACTTAAAGGTATAGCTGATGAAAATTTCAGGGCGAAACAGAATGAGAGGTATGAGAGGGTGGAAACAAAAAAAATGAGGGGAATCTTGGTGAGGGAGAGCGTTCTCTTTGACCGCGGCTCTCTGCTTGATATAATTATAGACATCAGGCAGGTGTGGTGTCAGGGGTAAATGAGTTCTGAATCGGACTCCTAAGGATGAATATAAAGTTGCTGTTTACGCTTCCCCCCCCATTAGTGGATACTGGATTAAGACGATGTATAGGACGTGCATGAGCAGTTTATCTCAGTATTTCACTCTTATCGCTCTCACTTAACGCACATTTAAAAAAACAAATTTTCCTTCCAACGAGAACAACTAACTGTAAGCATCGATAACAATACAGTATCTATGATGGCATGGCGAAAAATTTACACGTTCCTAAACAAACTCCCCCAAATTTATTGCTCTTCTTAAAGGGAAAGGTTTCCGCATATGAGTGAGGGGACTTTGGTTGAACGTCTCATGTTCTCATCAGTTCGTATTTCCAGGGAAATAGAGTAATGCAAGGTCTGCTTATTGTTAAACTAAAACGTTAGGAATTCTAATTTTTTTCCCTGTAAATTGTGGTTCATTTTACAAAAAGAAGTACCGGAGCTCATCTTATTTATGGCTCCGGCGCAATTTAAGCACTGGCTTATAATGTAAGATATTTTGCTTTCTTACTTTCATTAATAATATAAATGTCATCTTGATGAATGTAAGTTTATGAAAATAGAGACTATGATAAGTAAATATACATATTTAGCTAATAAAGGCTCTTTAAATACAAGTTATCATGACAGATCCAAAAACCAGGACTGCTCAGAGAGTTAATTAATTAGATAGGAAGCAGGAGCTATCTGTTTAGATGTAATCATTCCTTTGCAGAAGATTTTCCAAATAAAATTGGCTCATGATATAATGCACATCAGAAAGAACCCCAGATAATTTGCATTCTTGATCATTGGTATTTCTAATCATAAATGGTATGATGTGGTGAATAAGTTTATTATTTTTGTGGCTTATATTGATTGAAATATTCTGACTGATTTATATATTGACTTTCTAATATAAACTATTATATTCATATTGATTTTATTTGAACTTTATTCCAAATGGTTTTTAATGACATTCTCTCAGACAGGGAGATTTTGTTAATTGCTAAATAATGAAATATTTTAAGCTGGGTAATAAACTGTGACTTAAAAGTATCTTTATTACATTTGGAGCATTTATATATTGAGAAGCAGAGGATAGAAGATCAGTTTATTTAATATATTATTTTTGAATGTTATTATTTTGGCAATTTTTTTATTTCATGAAATATGTCTCACTTTCTGCGCAGATTCCTGCCATATTGTTCAATAACAGATCACATTTTTCCATCTGGATAGTTTAGAAATTCATGCTGTTAGTTCTTTTAATAAAAATATAGAGGAAAAAGTCATGTGAATCATTTACAATAATTTAGATAATTGTTTTACTTGTTTCTCTTGGAGGGGAAGAGAACACTAATGAATATCATAGTGCTTGGGAATTCTTATTTCATGCAAAGCATTTAATAGAATCTTATTTTAGGTGTTTATAGTAATACAGGGTGGTTATTGGAAAAGAGGAGTGAGAGACTCTTGGACCCCCTTCCCCCTCAGGATGTTCTCAAAATTCGCAGAACTTTATAGTTAATGTGGTGTGATTATACTTCTATGAACAATGATGAATTTCTGGTGTGCTGACCACTTCTACATATGCCTATTGTTTTAAAGTGTTTGCATTAAGCTTTCATATAATATTTTTGCTATTGAAAGAAAGAAGAAAAATTATCAGATTAAAAGGAATCCTAATATTTATCATCACTTTCATCTGGATATATGCTGTCTTGTTCTCCATCAGAACCACATGACTTTGTCAGCTGTCACTTTACTTAGTATTTTCGTAATGTAAATGTAAAGTTAAAATTTTATTTTAATTATTTCAACACTTTTGTATATCAAAATGATTTTTATCATTAGAGTATGTAATAATTTCTGTGTTTTGTTTTATTAAATATATGTGTGTCTATATAATGTGTGTCTTGTGCGTGTATTTTTCATCTTGTTAACTCAAAATTTTATAACTTGAAATTTTCCAACTCCTTTTAATTTCAGTTTATTGATATTAATCTATAGGAAATTTTTATATTTTATTCAAATAATTTGATATTATCATTTTCAAAATCTGAATTTAGTTCAAATATCTATATTTTAGTTATTTAACAAAATAATTACATTAATTTTTGTATGAATGAGTTGCTTTTGAGTTTGTCAACCATCCTGTTCAGTTTAGTAATTAGAAGGTATTACCTATTCACTGATGAGTTAATTCAAATCCCAGTGTTTTTTCAGATAGGGGACACTTAAAAATATGTCAGTCTAAGAGACTTTAAAAAGTTAGTGGCAGAGTAAGACTCTTAAATTTCATTCCTCGGAAATTATCTTCATCAGAATTGAGGTGGAGCTAGTTCAGTAGCCCCATGGGCTTTTGCCTCTCAGTTAAGTCCAACTGAAAATTAATTGAAGCATTTTCAGAAATATAAAATGGAATAAAAACTTTGACTTTAATAAAAATAACATATAGTTAATAGAAATATATATATATATATATATAGAAAACAGTGTGAATAAAACAAACAGTATGAAAATATAAATTTACTGTGTGAGATAGAAGGTATTAAACAAACATAAAATTGTGTTGATTTTCAAAATTTTTTTCTTTTTACATAAAAGTTATTTATATTTTCCATTGCTGGTACTGTTAATGTTTAGAAGTAGTTCAGTTTTGTAAATATTTTTAGTTTGTGCCTTCTTTAAATGTTTTTATCTTTATATATGTCTATAAATTTATATTTTATTTTTTTATAGGTGCCAACTCTTTGTAAGAAGTATTTCTGTATGTGATAACTGGACTACGTTGTATGAAAAGTGCTGCCGTAGAGCTACACTGTTCTTTATGTAAGATTTCTGTTTGTTATCAAAATACTCATAAGACATATATTTGATATGCTGATTTATGCTAGTATCCAAAATTAAAATGAAAAAGGAAAAAATTAAAATAATGTTACATTAAATATTCTGTCTAAACTTGTATAGAGTTCGGCAGCGTTCATAGTAGGATATTAAAAGCACACCATAAGGCAGTAACTGTAATTTATTTATTACCTCTTATGTCAATTAACAGTTAAAGGTATGCCATTTTACGAATGTGTCCATTGTGTGGATTACTTTTTGAATATGATGCCCCCTCTGCACAACCCATTCATCTAGGCGGCGTTGGAAGCTTGCCATAACTTGGTGTAACGTATTCCCTGGGACATTGCCGACGGCAGTTCGGATGCAATCTTTCAACTCAGGAATGGTGGCACAACGTGTTCGGAAAACTTCTTGCTTCAGGTGTCCCCAAAGTCAGCACATCAAAGATCAGGTGAGCGAGGTGGCCAGGAAATGTCACCAAAATAGGAAATTACTCTACCTGGAAATGTTTGTCGCAATGGTCCGTCCAATCTGGAACTTTCCCATAACGTCCCAAGTTGAAATGTTGCCGAAATAGACACTGGGTAGCAATAACAAAGTATTTAAAAATCTAAGTTCTTTGTTTTAAAGCATTTCTTGTTCTTAAACATTAATTATGTAATTTTGTATTTGGCTATCACAAATTAAACAATGGTCCTTGTATCACGCCCAGTTCTTGTTCGTGTCTTTGCTGTTGAAAGTTATTTCAACAGCAAAGGAACGATGCTGTGCACTCCAACAATCCATATCACTGTTATACTCAAAATGGCAGCTCATTAGTACACGAATGCGGCAGAGGTGGCTCGCATTCATGCAGTATGTCATTGTGCTACGCAAGTCAAATTACGCTATGAATGCTGCCGCACCCTGTATATATTTTTAGTTTCTTATAAAGTTGCACACATATTCTTTCTTACTTTGCACTGCTGATTATGAAGCCTCAAAGTACAAAAAATTCAGCATGTTTCAATTTCTAGAGTTCAAATTATTGCATAGTCTGATTTACAGAATGCAAAGTCCAGTTCCCTCCCCCCTGCAGAATGCAAAACTTAAATAGCAATATCTAATACAGTCAAAAGTCTTTAATCCGGACTCGTCGGGACTTCGGCGATTCCGGATTATCGATTTTTCCGGATTATAGATCATCAGTTTAAATCTGGTAAGATGGCATGCAGAAATTATAAAATTAAAATATGAACCGTAATTTATAAAATAATGAGCAATTATGATCTAAAGGGTATCAAATTTACCAAAAAGAAGCTTAATATTTATTTGTTTACTTTATTAAACATTTCCTTAACGCGCAAATGCGTAAAGCATACCTTACGCATAGCCGAAATTAGAAAATTGCAACCAGAAAACTATTTGATTTGTATTCGTGATGTTTATAATGACGAGGAATTTGATTAAATCATATCAAAGACGGAGTACATCGAAATTAAATACACATTAGTAAGGAATTATAAAGCCGAATAAATAAAAACATCTGCCTGAAGATAACGTAGTGTTGACAAATCAACTTCCAGTTCATTGCGCGCCGCGACGTCCCCCCCCCCGCGCAGAGCAGCGTGAAATTGATAAACAGATTTCGGAACGGTTAGATAAACAAAGAATATGCCTTTATCCATTTTTTGTAGCAATTCGTTTTTTGTTTGATGGACATCGAAATTTTTTCGTTTTCACTAACCTCTCTGTCACCTTCTTCATGTCTTTATACATTTTTTGCAGCAATTCCACTTTTTGTTAGACGGACATCGAAACATACTTTCGTTTTCTAGATCCTTTGGGAGCTCCAGCATCGGAAATTCTATTTGACATAATTGAAAATTCAAGCTTACTTTAGAAAATTGCTTTTACAGTCTGCAAAAAATAATAAGCCGGATCCATTCGAAGATTAAGGAACAACACAATCACAATTAACTGAAATAGATAATTGATAATTTAAACGCGCACGCGAAAACGTATTCTGCACTTGCGCAAACGAATATGCGCAGTCGTAAAGTCTTGGGCGCACGAGTAAAAATGCCGTCATGCGTCAAGCGGAGCCTGTGCAGAAGGCTTAGAGGGATTCTAGATCATTCTGGATTTGAGTGTCCGAATTAACGACTTTTGACTGTATACTGCTATTTAAGTTAATGAACAAGAACTGGGTGTGATACAAGGACCATTGTTTAATTTGTGATAGCCAAATACAAAATTACATAATTAATGTTTAAGAACAAGAAATGCTTTAAAACAAAGAACTTAGATTTTTAATTTTCAAAATGGTAATGGTAGAATTTGCTTTTCTCATAAAAAAATTACTGTTAATGAAAAAAAGTCCTCAATTCTTATGACTATTCTTAAAATTAGTTATAGATTCATACAAAGTAATGTTTATTGACGATATAAAATAAATAAGGTACTTATGTATTTTCACATCAACTGTGAAACTGTTGCCAAGCAGCACGATTTAGTGCCAGTTATGGATAAGCATGTCGTCACTCTGCACTCATAACATCTATGCTTTTGTTTCATGTATCCCTGATTGATTATCAATAAGTCACCTTTTATTTTATGCATATTGAATAAAAAAAAAAATGTTCGAGCGGCTGTGGAATCACATTTGTGATCAAATTGTGCTCGTATATAGCAGATCAAACTTAACATCTGTTGAAAGAGGGAGGGAAAAAAAAATCTGGATATCCAATAAAACTGTAATAGATTGGAACTGTAATAGACCTGTGGGAAGTTTGTATTCATATCTTTCTAAACTCAGCTATTTGTAAACTCTAATACAGTAACAGAAATTGACGAAAGCCTTTTTATAAAACTCAAAAATGAAGTGAGTCAAATACATCTGCAACAATGGCTGTTTGGTAGACTATGTAAAGAGACAAATGATGTTTTATTCTGAGAATTGCATTCAGAAATGCAGTTCAGAATTCTTCATGAATAATTGGTGCAGCATTCATAGTTTGAGAGCAGCCATCTTTCACAATTGACAAAGTAATTTTTAAGTATTAAGTTTAAAATATTTAATTAATTTATGGTGTTCGTATGGTTCTTAGAAGTCCTTCAATTTTTTTTTTTTTAAATCTATTTTTGGTCCTTGGTCCTTAATTTCAGGCAAAGTCGGCAGAAGGTCCTTCATTTTAATCATCTGAAATTTCTGTCTTGTTTTTATGATTGCCATTTTGAGTGTGAATTAGCATTTTGAAGGAATATTTTTCACGATTCACTGAAAAATATGGTTATCTTTTGAATGAGTGAAATAATCTGTTCCTATTTCTAATAAAAAGGGCGGGATACTCGACTTTCTGGGCAAGAAGAGAAACATAAGTATTTCAGAATTCTTTCATTTTTTCTAATGAAAAACTCATGAACATTTCACTTTTGGGGATGGGAATTATTTTATTAAAAGGTTTCAACATTTTGGGGATTTAAAGATCAGTTTCTGTAGAAAGTTTTTGGAAAAACAATAAAGACAATATTTGAATGTTTTATTTCTGGTACTAGAAGTCTTTTTCTTTACATCTTTTTCTCTTCCTTTTATTTTCGGTATTTTTCATTAGACATGAGCATGGAAAATATCAAAAATGCTTCTAATCTTATCATATGGACAGGCATTCATAGAAAGGAATTTTTCTATGAATAAAGAAATTGAAAACTGGTAATTTAAAAGGTTCATCTTATATGTCTCAGTGCATCATACACAGGGCTGGTGCTAGGCATTCTAAGTTTCAAAACTTGCCAATCATGCCTCCATCAGGCTTTCAGATTTGTTCTGATCAGCAGGTCTCTCTCTCTGTAGGCAAGCAGCAGTGGTGGCAACAGCCAGTCTTCTGTTATGATTCATGCTGATTATGATTTTACTTCTTATTTTAACCTAGGCCCAACACAAAATCTACCCTCTATTTACTAAACCTCTAGACTGAGCAAGTACGTTTCAAAATGAGACATGAAAGAAAAAATCAACAGAAAGCTGACTGTTAGTAAAACACAAATAAAATGTCACTAACCTTCTTTCAATTATATATGTCCAACTATTAGAACTGTAAAATATTTAATGTTACTTGATAAATTTTATTAAGTTGATTTTATTCTCAAATTTGTTTTGCAGTTATGTTTATTAAATTATGTTTTGTTTATTAAATTATGTTTAATAATTTAATAAACATCATGCATCCTACTTATGTATTTTATTCTTAGTTTGGTATTATTTTCTTAGTTTGGTATTATTAGTTTAATTTGGTAAATATTCTTAGTTTGGTAGTAGTTTGGTGAAGTTTGGACGTAGGTAATAGCTTTAATTGAATTTATTCAGTTCCCATTTGCTGATAGTTCCTTAATTTTAGCTTGAACCTTCGATTATGTTAAAAAGAATTTCCAATTCTGAAGCCGCCAAAGGATCTACAACGCGAAAGCATGTTTCGATATCCATCAAACGAAAAGTGGAATTGCTGCAAAAAATGGATAAAGGCATATCTTTTCTTAAACATCATTCTTCTTTTTATTCTTTCTTAAACATCCGAGAATGAAATCATTATGGTGGAGTACCCACATGTGCTCGTGATATTTCTTTAGATGATGCACATATTTCTGTAGGTTCATAAGTTGAATTGGCAAAATTTTTAAAAATGTTCAGATGGGCTTAACAGTAATATGCTGGATACTTACTGTTAAGATATTTGAAAGATAATAAGTGAGATAACCATTTTACCAGATAGTAATGCTTTTTAAAGCAAATTATAAAATATTACCTTCAAGAAAAGACTGTTATGCTGACAGAATGACTAACTAAATCTCTCAACTTTTACTTACTTAAACATTTTAAAAATAGCGATAGATTTTTTTTAATGTATCACTCTCTCAGTATAATGCCAGAGAGAGTCTGTAATTTCTTTAAATGATAATAGTTATTACTTGTTTTTAATCTGATTGGTTATGAAATTAACCTTGTTCCATTTTGGAAAACTTTTCCAATTGTATTGTGATAACTGCTTTTCAGGTAGATTCTTCTGTATGCTACTTTTCTGATGAAACTCTTATGTAAAATATTTTAATGACATTTTAAAACTCGAAGTGTAATCCATCTTTTCACTGAAGTTCATCGTAATTCTTCATGTAGTTCTTGTTTATGAAGAATTTTTCTTTCTTTGTGCACATTTTGGCATTTTAGGTATTTGTTGACTAGTTATTATGATACCCTGGCACCATCTCAAGTTCTTATTAGTAGTTAATATATTAATACCAAGCCTTTCAGAAGTATTAAATGTGAAAAGTGCATTTTTTATTCCTTAAAATGATTGTTTTACTTTTTAAGACTATAAATTTTCTGTAAAGAATGAACTTAAGTATAATGATTTTTTTGCTGTGATGAATGCATGTACTTATACATAAATTAAGATAGAAGGATTTAGTATGCACATTTATGTCTTAATAGCTATCTTAAAGTACAACAGTTATACCTGTTAAAAATATTTATTTATTGTTCTTAGGTATGCCTATTATCACAATGCAAACAGGGACCACCAGTCTTCATCATGATGCAGCTGGTTCTCGAAAATCCGCCGAAAATTCTCCCCAAGCCCTTGGTGTAATTGAAAATCCCCTTTTTGAAAGGAGTGGAGAGAGAAATGTCTCTTCTTTCTCTGGTCCCTCCAGACTATTGAGAGAGATGTCTGAAAATCAGAGGGACAGGAGGAAAAGTTTTGTGCAGCGTAGTCTGCAACGATCCAAAACTGTAAAAGAGTAAGTATCCTGCTTGAAAAAGTTAAATTGCTTGAAAAGTTAAATTCAGGTAGTTTTGTTTCTTAGCATCTAAGGGTTTAATTTTATATTGAGGATTTTAAAGACTTAGCATGTTCTAGATTATATGTTTCTTTCTCTTCTCCCCTTAATATAAATGGAATTTTATAGTCATTTTTCAGGCAAAACAGTTTTACTATAAAAAGTTAACTGCTAAACATTTTGGGTACTTTCCCCTCCCCCCTTTTCTAGATTCTACTTCACATTGTTTTTGTTATTGTTGAAACATTTGCCTTAGCATAAGACAAGTTTTAGAAAACTTAGAAATTTGCCAATTGTGAGAATTTGTCACTTGTGCCACTTTTCAGAACCTTTTTTAGTTTTTCATTGGTTTTGGAAATGCTCACCAGTAAGTTGCCTTTTCAGATATCTGTCTGAGCTATAATAAGGGGAAAGGTATGATTATGTTGCTGCTTGCCAAAGATTTGACTAGAATGGGCATTTGAGTAGCAGTATTGATCTTTGTAATTATGATGATGCAATAAAACACTGTCAGACAGATATAGTTACAAGTCAGGTCTGTCAGACAGCTATAGGTATAAGACACCAGAATTTCACTATTGGTTATATACAGATACAGTCTTGTCACACTAACTGAGCATTTCCACTCCATTTCTGAGTAAGATCACCTCAGGGGGCTGTCCGGGGATCTCGCACCCCTCTTCCTCCTATCATTAACTTCTGGAGAGGACTTTTGACTTGCTGTGTATTTTGAGAGCCTTTTTGCTGCATAGACATTATACTCTTATAAAATCTATGTTTGTTTTGAGATTTGAATCCAGGCCCATCAGTATGGCAAGTCATGTTGTTAACTCTCTACTGGCTGGGCGACACTTTGCCAGACAGCATGCAGTGGGTATTTGTTCCGAGTTTTGTGCCACAGCTTCATCAATGTGGGTCAATATGACAGTGTGCTGGGCCCATTATTGTCCAAATGGATAAGACCAATGACTACTGGATATTCAATATGAGTTTAAATCCCACTGAATGGGCTGGCTAAGTAGAATTTTTGTGATTATCCTTGTTCATAGCATGGATAGGGTTAAGTTTCCAGTTGAAAAGCTTCCATGAAGGCATACCTATCTTTAGACTGATAGCATTTACATGCTTTGTGTGAATAAATTAGTCATAGAGGCCACATTCAGTGTTACGTTTTGCAGTTTGAAGTCTATCACCTCAAATACTCTATCTATTCCCCGAACATAGTTGATATATCCTGATGAGCTGATATTATTCATTTCAATTTTATAATGGTCAAAGATGACATTGTCATCACTCTAGCAGCTGGTGCTTGGATTCAGAAGTTACCTGAAACATCTTCGTGATGGTATGGCTTTACAGGTTATAATCTTCTTCACTATAATGGGCAGAAAATATCAAAGCAATGGCTAAGCTCTTCATTTTGTGCTCCTCAAATATACCAAGAGAAGTTTCTTTATGTAATTTTATGAAGGAATGACCGTAAAACTTGTAGGAAATTTACAATTAAGGTGGGAATTGTGATTGTGTGTTTTTATGAATGATAGTGTGAATGACCAGAATGAAACCTACATATACAAGATTTAATTAGGTTCATTATGCAGGTTCTTCTGGCCTTACTTAAACAATCTTACCCATTTATGAACTTTGCCATCATTCATGGCATTTGGAGCATGTACATTGTAGAACTAGCAATGAATCTTTGCCTGTATCTTTTTTTTTTTTTTTCTTCTAGTCAGGAAATGAATAATGAATTTCATTTCACTGGCAATGGGCCATTTTGGTTTTAAACATTTCCCACACTTTGCATGAAATATACACTCTGCCAGCATAATTCAAAATGGTATCTATCTGTGTGCAAGAGATGCCAAAAGCCACTGTAAGGTAATAAATCTTCTAGCTTTAAAAAAATGATTAAATGGACCATTTTCAAAATATATGATATATACCAGAATATTAAAGCAAGTGCCAGAATGAATGAAATTGAAAAAGTTCTTTTGCTAAGTAATGCATATAGATTGGTCATCTTTATAAGCTTTTTTGACCATTCTGTGGTCTCCTTTAGACTGTTACAGAAGACAATTTTAGCTCAAAATATTCATTTCTGCTTGTCTTTGACAGGATCTATGTGTCCTCATGCCCTCGTGTATATGACAGTCTGTGATAGATCTGTATTGCTTGCTTATTGTTTTATACTTTGGAAGCAACTGAAAGGTTGGGGGATTCAGCTTTTCATTTCTTCCCCCTGCTGTGTGTGTGTTTTTTTTTTAATTAAATCAGTTCAGATTTTGGGAATATGAATGAATTAAAAAAGCTTACAAAAATGACTACTGGTGGCATTTAATTTCTGTTGACTGTGTGATCGAGGCTACATTGTAGGAGTTCATTATCTATGACTTTTGCGTCTTCGAATTTGTCATTAATATTTTCATTTAAATGAAGGTGGGAAAGCACTGCATTGATTTTGTCAAATTTTTAAGTTCTCATATGTTCGTTATTTATTGTTATTTTAAAACTCTACCTCTTTCTTTTGGATTAAAAAAGGGTGATGTGATTTCTTATTTTGTTAAACAGGTTGTACTCCTGTTCTATAACAAAATCATGGTTTTTCATATTTTGCAGATCTCTTAGCCCATTTGATAGCTCGGACACTAGATACTTTTTCCCGGAAAAGCTTTGTCATTAATTACCTGTTTAACACCTTTCTGCCATGTTTTATGGATAGCCTGCAATTTCTGCATATTTTTTTAGTTATGAAAGTTGCCATAGTAAAATTGTAATTGCTCCTAAAGGCAGTATAAATATTCAGACACTTGAAAGACTTATGTTCTGAATAACCGTTCGTACCATGAGTTTCTTTGTGAAATGTTAACTAGGTTTGCTATGTGTATCTCCTAACAATATGTGTGAGATAAGAACTATATTATCAAATAAATAATTAAAAGTACTAAAACAAATAAGTAATGCATTTTAATATAGTACATTATAAACAAAGACTTACTTTACAGTCTGTTCCTTAGATTGTGAGGGTGAGGCTTGTGCATTTTTACATGGTTGGGGGAAATTCAATGTCTGATTCACCCTCTGAAGACTCATCAATAAGTAAAAGGCCCATTTGTGATAAGGAGGCTGTATGAGAGGTGAATAAAGTTGGCATGTTAGATGGGGAAGCAACACTGATTTCTGAAGTGTTTTTCTTAAGAAAATAAATGTATAAACTTGCAGGAACAGGTTTTCCTCTTTCTTTAGTTATCAATTAAGACAATAGTGCTGTTTGGCTGTGCACAGTAGACTTTACTTTAGCAAACATCAGACTGAAGTCTTGATTTTCCAAAAAACAAAAAGGATCAGGGTTCATATGGTCTTTAAGAATCCTTAAATGTTTGAGCCCACCAGCGGCCGAGCGGTAAAGTCGCTGAACACTGGTAGTTCGGTCCGAGGTTCGAATCCCGCGAACGGGCTGGCTGCATGGGCGTTTTCGTGGTTTTCCCCATGTGTAACGTGTATACGAGCCAGTTTCCCTTAGAAAGTCCTCCACGAAAGGCATCCCTCCCTTTAGGCAGATAGCCCTCGTGTGCTTTGCCTTAATTAAATACACCACACCTTAAATGTTTGAATGTTTTTTGAATCAATTTTTGGTCCTTGAAAGTCCTTAACAGTGCCCCAAATTGCAAAAGGTCCTTAATTTTAATCATCTGAATTTTCTGTTTGTTTTTTACAACTGCCATTTGAGTGAGAATAAGCATTTTGGAGGAATATTTTTGGGCTAGCCAAAAGTATGGTTACCTTTTAAATGGGTTCATTGGTTATAATTTGTTCCTAACCCTAATATAAACGATATGATATTCGAGTTTCTGGGCAAGAAATAAAAGATAAGCTGTTTCGGCCACCAGAGCTCTCTGCCTGTCTGTTAGATATTATTTCGCAATGCGCAGATTGTATGCGCAGCTCGCATTTTGTTCTTGCATTCTTAAAACCGCTAATTGTAACTCTGTCGTTTTACTTTGTGCTGTGTGTTGATTCGAAAGTTCAAACCCGCCGAATAAAGGTTAATTTACAGTCCACTCGCAGTGATGTATTTCTTAGGTTTATTAATTTAAAGTTAAGATACCGCTATGCTACATTATTTGGTCGTCCTACGCCGGAGCTTCGAGAAAATCCCGCGCTTGTGAATAAGAATTCTACGTGTCTGTAATAGAGTTGATAATGCAATTTCAGTTTAGAATTCTCAAGAGTTTCGCAATGGATACAGTGTACGAGGTGAGTGAAACAGTTAATGCATTTTAATTGCATTTGACATTTCGTTATTGCTACTTTATTGTGTTTAAAGTATTAGTAAAATCGTGAATTTAGAATATTTTCAAAATGTCAGTTATAGAAAAAAAAAACGAAAGAAAATTTTGAAAACGCAGTTAATGAAATTTATCGAGAAAATAGATTATGATAGCTTAGATAATGCTGAAGCTGAATTAATCTTAGAAAAATGTAAAATCTTTAAGGAAGATTTTAAATCTTTATTTAGAGACATTTATACAAATTGTGATGATGAAAAAATAGACACTTTCGTTGAGGAAGAACAGTCAATTTTAGAGAAAATTGAGGAAGTTCACTTAAAAATTATTCGTAATTTAAAGATTTACAAGGTCGTAAATGCAAATTAGAAATTTAACTGAATGGATAACATTTAAAGATTTATTTAACGCTAGTGTTCGCAACAATCCAAATCTATCTGGAGCTCAAAAATTACAATATTTAAAGAGTTCTTTGAAAAATGATGCTTATCGCATTATTCAGTCAATTCCCATAGCTGATCAAAATTTCAGTATTGCTTCGAATTTACTAGAAAAGAGATTTTCTAATAAAAGAGAACAGATATTTGCTTTTATTAAAAGAATTCTTAACGTTTCACAAATACAAAAGGAATCTGCATCCTCGTTATTAAATTTAGTAGATAACGTAAACGA